TTGTGTTAATCACATATAAAACTCCGTCTATACTCTAGTAAAAAGTTCCCCAGACAAAAGGTCACCTTAAGACAAAAAAAAAAAAAAAAAATGAAAATTAATTCGAAAGTATTTACACAAGTATATGAAAAAGATGATTCGTAATTAATAAATAAGAAATTAAGAAAATTGAATGAAGTTCTCATTACAACTTTACAGAAACCTTGATTTTTTAAAAATATAAACAGCATATATCTAACATATAATAAAAGTCTTAATAAGCTCCGTTAACTCTCTTGTAAGAAACCTTTTAATATTATAAACATATTATAAACATATTATAAATAATTTAATATATTTATCATAGGGCTTTTATAGAATTTTATATTTTATTGCATATGCGATGTATCGCACCCTATAAGATCTGGTGTAATGTGAAATCAAAACAATAAAATTAATTCGTTAGTTTAGAGTTAGGGTAATGGTAGGGTTAGTTTAGGGTTAGTGTTAGGGTAGAGCGCTTTAGCAAAAAGGTTCTAACCCAAAATTTTGAAAGAAATTTTTTTTGTTAGAGCATGAGAGATGGTTTCATAGGCAAAATTTCGTGCTATAGCCGATTTTTGAAGAAAAAGCATAATTCCTTTGATTTCACGTTACACCTGATCCTGCATTCTAATTGGTTGACCAGGGTGGCAATACATCGCCATGGCGGTAAATTATAAAACCCTTATATTATTAAAATATTGAAATTTTTTATTTTATTCTGTTATTATTATTATTATTATTAGATTAATAACAAATAATTTTATATATATAATTATATTGTATCTATATAACAAACATATTATTAGGAATGAAGTTACAAAAGAGTTAGCAGAAAGAACAAAAATATAATTATTATTATATATTATTTTAAATTATATAATAATAATATTGTTAATATATAATAAATATATTGTAAATATATTTAGCAAAAACTATAGATTTCTGTAAAGAATGAAGAATTGCAGATGAAATCTTTTTTTTTTATCATTATTCCTAATAAGGAGAAATTAAAATAAAGTTTTAAACTTTTTTCAAGGATTTAATTTATATAAAACACCATAAACACAAAGAATTTAAATTCATAATTACCAATTTTTTATCAGTAAAATATATTTTTCAAAAACAAATCCTTCTAAAAAATCTTTTTTTCTTATCATAACATGCTAATACACTATGAATAACTTTATTTGCAAAATCATTCCATCTATTCGCGGAAATGATAAAATTAACGTTGATGGTTTCCTTATGGTTAAGGACAAAAATCATAATAATGCATTTTATTGGTATTGCGAGAGGTAAAACGAGTTGAACTGCACTGGTCGTGTGGTAACCAGACTAGTAAATAGTCAACATTATCTTAAAAGTATAAAAGAGCATACCCATTCAGCACAAGCAAGCCGAGTGAAAGTTGTGAAGATGATTGCTAAGATAAAGGATCAAGCACAACTAACCAGGAAAAAGCCAGCTCAGGTTTTGCAGACAGTGATTACTGATAGTCCTCAATACGTTGTGAAAGGGTAAATTCTAGTACAAAATGATTTTTTGCCGCAGTTGATTGAGGCGGGCCGGAAAAGATCATCATATCTGTCCGATATGTCAGATATGTCAGATCTAACAGATATGTCGGATCCGTCAGATATGTTGGATCTGCTATAACTGCTATAACTGCTGGATATGATAGATATTTTTGATATATTAGATAGGTCATATATGATAGATAGGTTAGATAGATTATATATGATAGATAGATTTTATATATTATATATATTAGGTAGAATTAGCGAATCATATTAAAGTCAAAAACTGTATATAAGGACCAAGAGTCCGCCTTGAATAAAATCATCTCACGTATTGAGCTTTTAATAAAACACAAGTTATTCTATATAACTCATACATTCGTTTACCCAATTTCCCAATAATAAACCATCTTACTATACTGTAATTCCCGAATTAGAGCCTCATGATGTAGTCTAGAGCTTTATTTGACCCTAATAACTCAGACCAAGTCTTTTCACGCCCTCTTTTGTGCCTTTCACCATTAGGGTCTAGATAGAGTTTGGCATAATTTGGTGGATTAGAGTGTTGATTTGGAGTCCCCATAGATATCCACAGTGTTGTACATGGGACGTGTCCACACTATGTAAAATGTCTAACGTCCAAAATTGTCCAAGTCTATGTCCCATATTTAACTAATCAATAAAGTAATTTAAAAAATATATAATTATATATTTTTTTTAGATGCTGAACTCATTAGTGAAAAAATTATAGATTATCTTAATAAAATTTTGAGTAATTTTAATTTGAAAAAATGTCCAAAATTGTCCCATATACAACACTGGATATCTGTGAGACTATATTTCGATCGTAGAGGTCGATTTAGCCTCTCACAATTTGGTCGTGACTGTGAGATACTTACTTCTTAACCTACCCGAATTGAAACATAAAAAGGAATACTTATTTCAACAAAGAACTCCAAAATCCGCGAAGGCTAAAATCACCTCAAAGACAAAGAAATTTTCGAAAAGAAGCTCTTAGAAAAGAACTATGGTGCTCCTATTGTAACCTAAAAGAACACACTGTGCCTATATGTTCTAACGTGAGAAAATTGGATGAAAAGTGCACAATGATTCTTTGAACACTTACATCAGAACAAATCGAAGTGGTCCAAGATATGATAATTGAAAATTTTAGTGATAGTCTTGAAGCTGAGCAAGTTTCCGAAGCCCTGAAGCTTATGTTAGAGTTAGTAGAAAAAATGATGAAAGACAAAAGCAAAGCTGAAGAAATTGTAAACCTACCTTTATATAAAAGTCTGCGGCGAAATATGGCTGTCTCTAAAGCTCAACTAGCAAAACTTCGATGCAAGAAAGGTCTCTTTAACACGATAACCAGGAAGTCTATAGTATAAATGAAACAAAAGAAAAGTTTAATAAGGTCAAGAATAAAGAAAAGAAAACCCATACAACTTATTTAAAGACAGCTTCCCATGAAATTGCATTTGACTATGGCCTGCTAGGACCTATTTGAAGTCAAGTGAAGAATGAACCAAGAAAAACTTATAATAATAAAAGATTACTTAAAAAGGATACCCATCGGGAAATTAAAGTCAGAATGGATAAGCATAAGGTGTTTACTACATATCAAAAGTCATCGAAGATAGGTGGTGCTGACCGAACTTTTGAAGCCAGCCTTGATAATTTTAAACCTATCGATTATCAACCTGTCGATAATAATCTTGGATGCTATAATCAAGTTGGTTATGGTTATAATTTAGGTATTGGAGTTGAAATTGATAAGAAAAATTATCTGAAGTCTGCTGATATAGACGAAGATAAAATAGAACAAATCAGTGTCAAAAGTTATGACCTTGAAAAATAAAACAATAAGGCACTCATTTATTATCAAGAACCTGATGATAAAATGAAAAAAGACAATTGTAAGACACTCAGTAATTATCAAAAGACTAGCGACTTTAAAGAAATATCTCAAGTCGATCCTGGCTGCCAAAATAGTATAGCCGTTAAAATGAATAAAAAAATCTCTGAATTGGACAAAAAACCTGAAAATACCGATAATTATGATGATAATGACGAGATTTGGCATCCTTGTAATAACAAAATTCCTGAAGATTGGCTGGGCCCTAACGACTTTGAAATTGACGAATTTGAGCTAAAGGAGAAAAAAAATGTGGAAAACTATCCTGGTCAAGAACTTGTTAATAATAACAAGGCTGACAAAAATATTGAACTCCTAAAAAGGTTCAAATTAATAGAAACACTTACCAGCCCTGTGGAATTAGTGTTAAACGAAATAAACACCAGGCGTATCAACAATCAACGAAGATAAACAAATCTCAGGCTAAACCTAGCTGAAAATATAGTAATCGAAGCAAACCAAAAAGAAAAAGAACCAACAAATCTAGTTAACCCCAGATTCACTTTATATAGCATCAGGATTAACCTACTATTACTTCTATATATACTAATAGTAACAAAAAGCAAGTTGAAAAATAAACCTACGCCATTAGTATATGAACAAAGATCAGCTGATTTTGCTAATATAGAAATCAGCAACAAAATACATACTGTTGGACAATAGAATAACTAAACTCGGGAATAGTAAAGTCGAAAAGGACGAAAACATAGCATTCACGTGGTATCAAAAATCGATGAAATTGAATAATTCTAACAGAGCCTATCAAATTGGCTATAACTTCAGAACTGGCGTCGAAATCGATGTGTTTGAATATTACCTGAAGTTAGCTGAGGCTGGAAATTCTATAGAAATTCAGAAAACTACCAATTGTTACTGTCATGGAATTGGCATAGAGAAGAATGAAAATAAAATTTATAAATGCTGCAAAAAGGACACTTTGCATAATAGTTTTCGCCGAAATTTTGAATATAGAAAATGTGCACATTGTAATAAAGATAACACACAACCAGTATAGTGCCTATCATGCAACCCGAAAATGACAACAAAATGAACAAGTAAAAATAAAGATTTTGAAGATTCTATAAAAGAATTCTGACTTAGAACCTGGATTTATGAAAATGTGATAAAATGAATTCCATCTAATAGATTACCTAATGTTAAAGAAATTGGAAAAGGAGGATTTGCCACTATATATAGAGCAACTTGGTTCAACATTATTAATGGAAGTTATATCGACGTTGCACTCAAAGTGATTTGTGATTTTACAAAATTGAGCAAGCATTTATCCAAGAATTGAAGAATTACCATGAAATTGGTTACTGAAGTATCGCAATTAGTACGAAAAAAAAAAAAAATCGAATATTTAGCAATTATCAAAGTCCGTAATACGACTCATATGGAAAAAGAAATTAATAAACAACCTACTGCAATAGAAAATTATCAGATGAAATAGGCCAGAAAGATAATGAAATCAAGAATCAAATTTTGGAAGCTAATAAGATTAAACAAAACCGATCATACAACACATTCACAAGAAATGTATACTAGCAAATTATATTATACAAAAAAAATTACAAATTGTATTAGTAAACCGACTAGTGAAGTAGAAATCCCGAATTTAGATTTAAATTAAATTATAAGATATGCATTAACATATCTTAAGAAGACATTTACATATCATTATGACCAACAAGATAGGAAGCTTTCGAAGGAATTACATTCGACGGTATTCAAGAATCTGTGTCGATCAGGATTAGAATCATAGAAGACTCTAAGAACAAACGAATTCTGAAATTGAATTATATGAGAAATAAGAAATTAAAGAAGACAAATGGACATGACAAAATTAGATACGGTAGGTTATGACAGTTATTGTGCGGGTGTGGGGCACATAACAGCAAGTGAAAACCTGAAGAAAAGAAGAATCGATACATATAAAGATTTGAAAAGAAGAAAGGAACGGCAAGAAGAAAAGAAACGTCCGCATTATCTACTGGAAAGACTCAAGAGAAGCACCATAGGAATGTCAAAGCTTATCCATAAGAAGAACCTGTACAATATGTACAGTATTGGATATTGTTACCAATGGAATTGGTATTGAAAAAGATGAACATGAAGCAAAGTAACCTACCTGAAGCAAAGAAAACCAATATTAAGCAAAAATCCCGTCTAGGTAGTCAGTGTCTAGCACCTGGATAATCCAGAAGAACCTTCTAAGAATAATGGAATATCAATAATGATTGATGCTGTGGAGGCTTAGATTAAGTACCAACACCCAAAGGCCAAGGATCGACATATTAAAGCCACGCGATATTTCAAAAGAAACAAAGTGTTTCCTGAATACCTGGAGCCACAGGCTAATGCTAAAACGGACAAATCCATTATATGTTTATACTAACCTCATGAAAGGCATGTATAAACTTCACAAAGAAGGATAGAAGCTCTTTAACTAAAAAAAAAAACATATAAATAGAGAATGGTAATTCATGACATACCATTCCAAACGACTCAAGATGTCTACAAATTTTAGTTCTCTTGTCAACAACCTTCTAGCTACCCAACCAGAGCATGTGGTGCCTTTTTTGCCTCTGTATGCTATGACAAACCCCATTGAAACCCAGATGCAAAGAACCTACCAAGCTATGGCTAGGTCTTCCAAAAGTGAAAACAAAGTTGGCAGCCTAACTTATACCTTTTACTTAGGCGCCATGATTGCCTGACTAACCCCAGAATGAAGGACAGTACAGCAAGCAAGGATGACTAGCCACTACTTTATGGCTACTGTCCGCATCCATGAGCTGTTTGAGCTCATTGGTGTCGAACAAATAGGTCGAACCACCTATATGAATTTGGCAAAAATTACTACATTACCCACTATAAGTATCAGCAGCTAGTTCAGGCCTCAGTAGCTGCTTCAATGCGTACTGCAATTAGAAATAACCTAAACGAAAATAGTAACAGCACGGAGGGCAATTAAAAAAAAAAAAATAAAAATAAAAAAAAATTTATTATTTGTAGTTTCGTCTCTATATTTTGTTTTTTTGTGGAACTCAAAATTAAGGTTGGGAGTCTGTGAAAGGGTAAATTCTAGCACAAAATGATTTTTCGCCACAGTCGATAGAGGCGGGCCGGAAAAGATTGTCATATCTGTCTGATATATTAGATATGTTAGATCTAACAGATATGTCAGATCCGTCAGATATGTTAGATCTGCCATAACTGCTATAACTGCTGAATATGATAGATGTGTTCGATATATTAGATAGGTCATATATGATTGATAGGTTAGATAGATTATATATGATAGATAGATTTTATATGTTATATGTATTAGGTAGTATTAGCGAATCATATTAAAGTCAAAACTGTATATAAGAACCAAGAGTCTGACTTGAATAAAATCATCTCATGTATTGAGCTTTTAATAAAACACAAGTTATCCTATATAACTCATATATTCGTTTACCCAATTTCCCGATAATAAACCATCTTACTATACTGTAATTCCCGAATTAGAGCCTCGTGACGTAGTCTAGAGCTCTATTTGGCCCTAACAACTTGGACCAAGTCTTTCCATGCCCTCTTTCGTGCCTTCCACCATTAGGGTCCAGATAGAGTTTGGCATAATTTGGTAGATTAGAGTGTTGATTTGGATTAGATTAGTCCCCGTAGATATCTGTGAGACTATATTTCGATCATTTAGCCTCTCACAACGTGTACCAATACCTTCCGTCTCCTAATACAATCTGTCAAACGATTCATTAAATTCGACATCTTGATCTTCCTACAAAGCCGCTTTCTTTAGAAGACTTAATTATCCCTGATCACATAAAAAGAACTTTAAGTGGGTTAGACTTTTTAATTCATGATTCTACCGTAGAGTGAAATGAGATTTTAATTTTTACAACTGTGGATAGCATTCGCTACTTAAATCGTTCAACATTCTGGGTTATAGATAGAACCTTCTAGACAGTACCTAATAAGTTTAGGCAACTATACACTATTCATGGTACCTTTTAATCTTTTCATATTATTTATTCTTTATTTACTTATTTATTTATTGGATGATTTTAATACTTACCGGAGGTGAAATTCACCATGTGCAATATCTCAAAACATGATAAGTAAATGGGATCGGGTATTATTAGAGATGTGCCATATGCCCTATGCAAGCAATGTTGCATGCTACATTATACTACATTATGTGATGCAAGTTGCTAAAATTTAAAAATGCACATAGAAGTTATTATATAATTTTGATTTCACTAGAAATCACTTTATAGACACTTTATTATAGAAAGCACTTAATCGCTTTGCTTATTCTGATTTCAATGTTTATACTAAGGCAAGTATTTTACTTATTATTCAAATGCGCTTTATTAATTAAGAGGGATTCTAATACCAACTAATACTAACTCTTATATTCGCTTTTTCATATATACATACTTCAGGTCACACTACTTACGTCATAATTCGTTCATATACGATCACACGATCGTTTGACTCTTATATTACTTACACATTTTATTCGATTGTTCATGCATAATTAATAATAAACTATCTCTCATTACACAATTGATCTTTCTCTCGATCTTTTAACTATCGGTATTCCAACATATTACCGACCACCCATAATTCCGTATGAATTATGTATACAAGACACTAGATGTTTGATCGCTCTTACTCTTATTCATCAACATATTCACCAAATACTTTATATCACCATGACACTGGCTAGATTATTTTATAGACACATCCGCTATATATTAATGGCTATTATGTTTTCAATCTGATAACCTCTCAATAGTAATACAAAAATCTGTTCGACATAAATATCGGTTTTGAGAAGTCACAATATACTATACAGAATTGCATATTGTTCATGCAATATAATATTGTATTATATGATGCAAAGCCAAAAGAACTTGCATTAACACATCTCTAGGTATTCTAAGTAAAAATTTTCAGAACTTTTTATAAGCTTATGAGAACTGAAATCAGGACATTATATCAAATCTATATTATGTTTATATAAAACTCCTCCTTAATCTTAAACTGCACCTAACTCTAAAACTTCTTAGGCTATGAATTTCACCTTTGGCTAAATCTAAATTATTTTTTATTTATTTATTTATTTACTTATTTACTTATTTATTATTTATTTATTTATTTACTATCTTTTATTTTTAAATTATACTACTAACTTTATTTATATATAATATATATATATATATATTAAATATATATATTAAATATTATATTTTAGGATGTGTCAGCAAGAGTGAAAATTCAAGAGTATTACCATTGGTTTTCTGTTTAATGACTAGCAAGTCAGAGGAATCACACAGACAATTGTTTGATAAACTGATAGATTTCAGCGAGGAACATAACATAAATTTGAATCCGCATAT